CTTGAGGATGTGGAGTCTTGAACTTATAGTGTCAAAAGCAATACCTCAGCAGTAATGTCAATTTCAAATTTTGAACCTCAGTAGAAACTCCACTCCACATGCATAACCACTTTCCATATCACCAAAAGAACACCAAACCCACAGTGAAGCAGCATTATGCTTTGGGGCTGTTTTTCTCCAGCTGAAACTGGAGCGTTAGTCAAGGTGGTGGAAATTATTAACAGTTCCAAATATCAGTCAATTTCGGCACAAAAGCTTCAGGCCTCTACTAAAATGTTGAAGATGGAGAGGAATTTCACCATTTAGCATGACAATGACCCACAGCATACCTCCAAATCAACAAAAGAGTGGCTTCACTAGGCGAAGATCAAAGTTTTGGAATGGCCTAGGCAGAGCCCGAACCTGAATCCAATTGAAAATCTGTGGGGTGACCTAAAGAAGGCTGTGCACAAGCCTTGCAATCTGACAGATTTGGTGTGCTTTTGCAAGGATTCCCAAGGCAAGATGTGCCAAGCTGATAAACTCCTACCCCAAAAGTGGGTAATTCCAAAATAGGTGCTTCAAAAAAATGTATTAGTTTAAGGGTGTGCATATTTATGCTTTTGTACATATAGGTCACATTAGCTGGAAAAAATTCTTAAGTGATTTATCTTGGTCTGACCTTTTTACATCTCAAAAACCTGGAATTTCTACAGATGGTGTGTAAACCTTTTTTCCACTGTACGTACGCCAGAACTAAAGTGGTTAATATGACACAGAGTTAGCTGCTAATTTAGTTTCTCTGTACTAGGTATGTAGCTCTACAAATTATATTCCTGGCTTTAGATTTGAGATAACTTATTATGAAGATATATTAATTTACTAATTCACTTATGCTTTAAAGTGTGATTTGGACTACAAACACATGTAACTCATCAGCAGGTTAAATGTCTTGTACTGTTCATATTTAGGCAAACTTGTATGTATTAGCTTAGATAGCTGTGGTGTCTGCAAAATGTCAACCGTTGTTGGCATTACTGCTATCAAGTGATAGCTCCACCTGACACCAGGAAGAGCACAGCAGCATAAAAAAAGAAGCAAAGATGGCCATGTGGCCTCCTTTTCACTCCAGTTTTAAGAAACCCCAGAGAGAGAAAACCCCAGATAACTGATAAAATAAGCACAGAATCAGATACAGAAGACAGTGAAGTATAAATATATAGATTAATGCAATACTGGCGTGCTGCTTTCACTAGCCAACTTTAACCCTTTCACTGCCAAGGATGACTCCCACACATGTCTGTCATAGCAGCTGTGAGCTTGGTCAGCAGGTAATGTATTCAGCAAGTTCTCAGCTTTTACGCCCCATTCCCACCAGATTATTATTACATTACAATTATACAGGATTTATATAGCGCCAACAGTTTGCACAGCGCTTTACAATATAAGGGAGTCATTAAAGTTACAATGCAAATCAAGACAAGATTTTGAGGAGGGCCCTGTCTGTGAGAGCTTACAATCAAAAGGATTTTTAGATGTCAAAGGAAGGTAACCCAAAAAATGCACGGGGGTGAATGGGACCAGTTCACACCGCTCCATTCCATTGCAGTGCTCTGAAAAAAGTAGAGCAAGCTGTATTTTTTTCAATGCAACAGAAAGGAGCGTGTCAAAAACGGAAGGAAACGCAACAGAGGTAAAAAAAAATAATAATAATAATAATACATAGAGGGGGGCATTTATCAAAACTGGAGCATAGAGAATCTGGAGCAGTTGCCCATGGCAACCAATCAGCATCTCTCTTCAGTTTGCTCAGGTAAGATTTGAAAATGAGACAGAGAAGCCGATTGGTTGCAGTACAAATTTTCTCCAGATTTTGTCTTATCCAGTTTTGATAAATTCCCCCCAGAGTATGTCTACTCAGGACATGTTACTTAAACCAAAATTTGGCAAAAAAGCAAAAAATGTAAAAGCGCAACAGAACAGAGGTCAACGGAGGTTGAAATTGCAAGAAAATTGACCTCTGCTGACTTACATTTTAGGTTCAATTTTGGTATGTACCTTAAGTACCAGTGTCAAGGAGGCGAGCTGGAGGACATTGAAGAGCATCCTTTTCCTGATGTCCTATATAACATTGGTCTACAAATTTTGGGAAATTATCGACTTCCGAGATAAAATGTGTTAATTCTTACATATTTTGATTAGATGATTTAGAAAACAAGTGATAAAAGTGCTGGTTGGCTAACGTTTTCAAGATATTTCACAATAAAGATTTATACACAGGCGTGTATATTTGCCTACAAGGGATGGAGGTGTCTGATGATCATGATGCCTTGTAACTTCTCGACAAAGTACGGTAGAACAAGGCAAATGGTACCACATGGAAGTGTATAAATGTATCTTCACTTTGAGACTAAATATTATTACCTAACTGTAATTTATTGTTCTTTTATTGCAAGGTACATTTGTCTTGGTCAGATCTACGCATCATACAGTTACATCTGGTGACTTGTGAAAGTGTGATTGCCTAACATTTCCAAGGAACAGTTGCGTGATATTCTCCCTCAGAAGCCAAGATGCCTCAAAACTGTGTTTTCAATGCAGATAACCTCTGCTACATTTGTGGCGAGGTTACATTTGCATCTCAAAAGTGCAGTATGCCGGCAGTGGTAAAAAAGGCATACCACCTATATTTTGGATGCAGAAAAAGTCCATGCCTTGCGCAGTCCCAATGGTGTGGAGGGAACCCACCAATCATAGTAGTGACTGCTATTTTTGCATGGTTCCCCCAATTGCAGAAGGGATCTCAAGAAAGAAGTGGCCCGTGGAATATCCAAACATTCCATCCGCACTGCGTCCTGTACCCCATGGTGAGGACTTGCCTTTTCCAGATCCACCAGAATCCTACTCTCTAGACTCAGATGATGATAAAGATGATGAGCAGGATGCAGCTAATCTAGGGCCATCGATGTCAACAGGCCCAAATTTAGGCCCATTGTATGCTCCTCCTGAACCACATCGAATTTCACAGAGTGAACTAAATGACCTGGTCAGGGATTTGGAATTGCCTAAGAGTAAGGCAGAGCTACTGGGCTCCAGATTACAACAGTGGAACCTCTTGCAGTGATGTCAGGATCTCCATTTTCCGTGATCGCCAAAAAGATCTGGTTCAGTATTTCTTACGCCTGGTTCACACCTGGGCGTAGGAATGCGCTGCAAAACGCCCTACGCCCAAAGAAGTACAGGAGCTTCTTTGGGGCGTTTTGCCGCGCGTTTCCATTGGTATTCCCGAGTGTGGATCGGGGTTAACAAAGCGGTAACCCGAGCCACACTCGGGAATACAGCGTACAGGTCTTACCTTGTCCGCGATCCCCGCTGTGTCCTCCGGTGGCTGCCGACTTCCGTCCCTTGCGAGCGGCCGGCGTCGCAGGGGGGGGGGAGCCGGCGGGAAGTTTAAAAATAAGCTAAAAAAATTAATTAAATAGAGAAGAACAAAAAAAATCATACCGCCAGAGAAACGCGCGTTCCACTGAACAACGCGCTAAAACACACGAACAAAACGAGCTGAAAAAATACACTCAGGTGTGAACCCAGCCTTATTGGAAGGTGATTTGGTTTATTGCAATGATAAAGCCAAAAAGCTCAGTTTAGATATCGAATAAAGATGGAACCTTGTCGTTTAATCTGATGTTAGAGCTTGTCAGTTTTTAATGCAAAAAGTATGAAAATGTTACATGAAAACCAATAAATGAATGAAAAGTTATGTTATTGGTATCAATAAAAAGATAAATGTATAGTGATTGGTGTGGCACCATTCTCATAGCTATATCACATTTTGCAGAAAAGTTATGGAGCATAATCGCACATCCCCCTCGTAATTTTGAATTATTTTGATGCAATTTTGACCTGAAGCTGTATCTTGAAACTGGAGCCAATTAATACTCAGGACTTAATTTTCCTTTATTAGTGACCCAATTCTGGTAAAATTTAGCTCATTTTTGAAGCTTTCTCCTTGTAGACCATAATGGATGAACCCAGAAATACTCAGCTCTGAGCACTTCCAGGTTTAGAGCCATTATATCCTGGTAGCTCTGGCTACAGGAACAGCAGATCTGGCAACATTTGTGCCCAAACTATTAGACAAAGGGTAGGGGACACATTAGGGGATCTAATGGCCCACCTTTATCACCATAAAAAGAACTGTGTCTGTAAGGCCTCTTGTAGCAATAACCCCGCCTCCCTGAAGATGTGCATTGCAGTGGAATAAAGTAATGCATGCACCATTTTTTTTAACCACATGGTATTGCTGCAACTCATGGCCACCAGGAGATGCTTTGGGGTGTATTTCAAATTAATGGCTATGTAACAACATGCCTAGTGTGCAGTGCGCTGAGCCATAGTATGCACTAAACCCACGGGTACTGCGCCATGGTGTGAACCAGCCCTAACTCAATGGCTGGCATGGTGCACAGCTTTTCTAGCAGCTGACTGTAATTTTCAGGTCTAATTAATAAACTGTCACTTTGTGTTTCATTAATAAACTGTCAATTTTTGAATATAAGATCCGTTTCCTGGTGTTTTCACTTTGTGAATGGATCATGTCTGCTATAACACCTATACCCAGGCAGAGTGTAGCGGTAAAGGTGGAGAACAACCCCTCACCAACCAACACCTGCTCGAAGTAAACCGTTTGCAGCCTTTATCCCTCAATTCCCAAACGCTTCACCGTACATTACTGCTAGAAATGCGCTACACAACTGAATAGAACAAAGTCGCCACATCTGCGTCCTATAATCCAACACGTCTTCTCTATTACCAAATCCCAGGAACAGCATGCATGAAGCACGCATGACACTCCTGTTCTCCTCCACCCGAACTATCTAGAATTAAAACTCTCCACAGCACCTCCGCCGCTAGACACACGAGTCACCCGTGACGTCAGCCCGAAACTTCCCCAATAGCTCCTCCTCCCGGTGTTACCCTATGGCCGCGCCCCGTTTTCAAGGATAGCTTAGCAACAGGGTTATGACTGGTCAGGCGCTAGTTCGCTGACGGAGAGTGAGTCATTACGCTAGTCCTGGTTGGCTAAGCAGGGGGTTACTTTGAACCAATGAGAAGCGCGTGCAACACAATTCAAATCGTGGACTTTCAGCGGCGGTTGCGCAAATAAACCGTTTTTTTTTTTTTTTAGATTGGTCGCCATTGTGTGCTGTTCGGGACGAGTGTGGTGTGCGGCTGTGCCGTCTCCGCTGGCATCATGTCCTTCAAGAACATTTACTACTCTGACAAGTACACGGATGAGAAGTATGAGTACAGGTAAGGAAAGATGAGGGCGAGGCGGACATTCCCACTGTGGGGGTTGCTGACTGCTCACATCCGGCCTCTTCATCCTATAGTCATTGTCTGTGATATCTGAAGTAATGCCTGAGGACGGCTCGGCCTGGTGCTCGGACACTTCTGGCCTTAGAAGCTATTTAGTTTGTTTGTCCCTGAAGCGTTTAATTCCGCAATTCAGTCTGTGATGTTTTATTTATTCCCTAAGAGAACCTGTCAGAATAGCAATACGGGAGCTGACATGAAGGCCTAAGTGCTGGGGGCTGTCACCTTCTTGTTGTCTGGAGGCATTAGCCCGGAACAAGCATGTAGCCAATGATGTCACTACACGTGTGTGTGCTTGGTCTTTGAAGGTAGCCAGTGATGTCACTACACATGTGTGGGTGCTGGGTCATTGAAGCATGTAGCCAGTGATGTCACTACACATGTGGTGTGTGTGCTTGGTCATTAAAGCATGTAGCCAGTGATGTCACCACACCTGATATGTGTGTGTGCTGGAACCTTGCAGCCAGTGATGTCACTACACATGTGTGTGCATGCCGGGTCATTGAAGCATGTAGCCAGTGATGTCACCACACCTGATGTGTGTGCAGGGTCATTGGTGAAAGGAGGGTAGTGATTCCTATGTTCCCTTCTTAACAGACTGATAGGGATCTGTCATCTATGCTTGTAAAACTAGTGACCTGTACAGCACATACAATCCATAATAGAAGTCACCAGCACTCGATATGTGCAAGAAGTAAAGCAATTTTTATTCAATCGTCACATGCGTCAAACAGTCAACGTTTCGGGGCTACGCAGGGTCCCTTCTGGGCGACATAGTGGCACTATGTCACCCAGAAGAAGACCCTACGTGGCCCCGAAACGTTGACAGTTTGACGCATGTGACGATTGAATACAAATTGCTTTACTTCTTGCACATATCGAGTGCTGGTGACTTCTATTATGGACTGTATCTGACACGGCACCATCCATGTTGTCACTTCAAGCACCAACCTCTTACTCAAGGTCTGTACACTGTATGGTAGGGATGCACCGATACTAGTATCGATGCCGAACCCGAGTATTTGGTCGAGTATTCGTACTCGCCCAAATGCTCCGATGCCTAGCCAGATACTTCCTGTATCACGAAGCCGGGTAGCGCGTCATTACACGCTGCCCGGCTTCCTGATTGGCCGGGAAGTCGGCTCCATGCACTCTCGTCACAAGCTTGCTGGCCAATCATGGAAGCTGGGCACCTTGTAATGATGCGGCGCCCTGCTTCCCGATTGGCCGGGAAGCCGGCTCCATGCTGCCTCGTCACTTGTGACGAGAGTGCATGGAGCCGACTTCCATGATTGTTCAGCATAGTGACGAGTAGCATGGGACGGCTTCCTTGTTAATCGTGAAGCTGGGTGGCGAGTCTTTACACGCTTCCCGGCTAATCAGGAAGCCAGGTGGCTGGCTTCCTGAATGGGACTTTCAGTATTTGGTATCGCCTAGTACCGAAAAAAAATATCGGTACTTGGTACCAAAATACCGGTATCGGTGCATCCCTACTGTATGGAGTGCAGGTGATTTTGTATTATCCTGTACAGCAGATACACACCCAGGTTCTATAGACTATACAAATAGATTCACAGATCAGGCAATAGGAAGGAGAATATTTTATTCTTCTGTGGACAGAGGTGTTTGATAAAAAATCCCAATTCTCTATCCATGTACACACCATTTCATCTATAGACCTCAGCTTGTGTACTAAATGTTTATGTGGTGCCGTGTCAAACGCTTTTGTAAAATCCAGATATACTACATCCACCGGCCTCCCTCCATCCAGATCTCCACTCACCTCTTCGTAGAATGTTAGTAGGTTTGTCTAGCAAGAACGGTCCTTCATCCATGCGGATTGTCATTTATACCATTGTCGCAAACAAAATCGACTAAATAGTCCTTTATCATTCCCTCTAAGGCCCCATTCACACTGAGCGACACTTAGCGGATTTCCGCGCGATCCATATAGTGCGACTTTTCGGGCTACGATCGCGCGACCTTCACTATTGGGCTGCATGCAAAATCGCACGACATCCGCGCAATAAAGGATCCTGCGACGAGCTACAGGCGATATTGCGCGGCAGATTTAAAAGCGCCATTGAAAAGCATAGGGCGAGCGTGATATCGCGCGGCAATATGGGTGATTTTCGAGCGAAAATCCGCTCAAGTGTGAATGGCCCTTAACAGTTTGCATTCTACGGATGTAAGACTGACTGGTCTGTAGTACCCAGGTTGGCATCTGAACCCTTTTTTGAATATTGGTACTACTGTAGCTTTCCGTCAGTCACCTGTTACCCTTCCAGTCATTATGGAGCCTTTGAAGATGATGAATAATGGTCTGGCTATAACCTGGCTGAGTTCTTTAAGTACCTTGGGGTGCAGGTTATCTGGTCCTAATGATTTATTTTCATTAAGTTTATCAAGTCTTTATCGAACCCCAGTTACTGTCAACCATTGTGGTATCTTTCGAACTGAGCAACTCACATTCTTAGCTCCATTAAACCCATCTCTCTCCTGAGTGCATACCGAGGAGAAAATGAATTTAACACCTCAGCCTTCTCTGTTGCTTCTGATCTCCCCCTGTTTTCATCTTTTTTTGGGCTAACCTGTTTTTTTGCTTACCTTTTTACTGTTAATATATTAGAAGAATTTTTGGGGGTTCATCTTACTGACTGTGGCGATATGTTTTTCTTAATCTATTTTAGCTGCCCGGATTTCGTGTTTACATCTCTTAATACATTCCTTGTAGTTCTGGAATGCCAATGCCGTCCCCTCCATCTTATATTTTTTAAATGCTAGCTTCTTTGATGTGGTGTTTTACCATTGTATTTAGCCATGCAGGCTTAGCTCTTGATCTTTTATTTTTGTTACCCAATGGTATGCACTTGGTAATAGCATTATGTAATATATTCCTAAAACAATCCCACTTTTCGTCAGTGTTAGAAATAAGTTGTCCCATTTGTTGTCCTGTACTAGGTGACGCAGCTTATCAAAGATTTGCCTTTTTTTTTATGTTGTGTTCTTGTCAGACCAACACACTTCTCTTTTCTGTAACCAACATTTAAAATTAATCATCTTGTGATTACTATTACCCAGTTTATCTCTAATCGCTTTTTCTGCAATTAGGTCTGCTTTATTAGAGATTAATAGATCCAGAATTGCATTCTTCCTGGTCGGGGAACTCAACCATCTGATCCATGCAATTGTCACGCAACAGGTTAGAAAACAGCCAGCCTTTATAGAATGAGAGAGTCCATTTGACCAATGTCCACATAATTGAATTCCCCCATTAAAACATTTCCCTGCTTCCCAGCCAATTATATTTGGGAATGTAGGCGAGCCTCCCCCTCTTCCCTTATGTTTGGGGTTTTGTAACACCCACAATTGGATTACCACTAGAATCCATCTTATCCAGTTCTAGCCTCAGACTCAACACCATCACAACTTTCTGCCATGAGGTCATCTTGTATGTGTGCAGTAAGATTGTTTGTGTTCCACATACATGCATACCCCCCCCCCCCCCTTCTACCAACTCTGTCCCTCCTGAATAGGTTGTTCTCTTGTACAGTAGTTGCCCAGTCATGTGAGTTGTCTAACCAAGTATTTGTTGTTCCCACTATGCCGGCTGTATTCTATCTCACTGGCTCATCATATTGATGCGCGGCTGCCACTTGATTTACTCTGCTCCTGGCTGGCTCGCCAACTGTCGTAGACAGAATTAAATTCGATACCACACTTATCCTAGAAGAAAAAGGTTAAGGTGCACCCATATAGCATAATGCCAGAGAAACTGACATGGACACAAGAGCGTCTGTATAGCAGTTTCTACTTTATTAGGATAAACAACTGATATTTATTGACAATAATGTATTCTAGGTGTTAACTACTCATTAAAATATGTATTAGATAGATATATTGTGAAATCAACATCATGTGAATATCGTTTTAAAACTAAAGTTGTGTCCTTGGCACAAAATAATTAATATCAGCAAGATGTGGGGCGTGGCTGCGGGCGAGAGGCCGACTTCTTGCACTGTTTCTGGGAATGCCCCGTCATAAGAGCCTTTTGGTCGGAAATCACTTCCTTCATGGAGGTCAGCCTCTGCTTCCCCAACATTTGCAACCCCTCATGCTGCCTCCTGGGTATCTTTGGGGAGCTAGCACTGGCCTCCCGTTCTCAGACACTTATCCGCCTCCTTGAACAACGTCTGAATAGCACAACATACCAAAGTATCGTTGCTGATCAAGTTCATCCTATCATGTTGATGGCGTATCCCAATGGAGATGGCTTCTTCCAACAAGACAATGCGCCATGCCACGCTGCTCGTATTGTGCAGGAGTGGTTTCAAGAACATGAGGGAGACTTTACCTTGCTTAGGTGGCCCCCACAATCACCAGATCTCAATCCAATTGAGCATTTGTGGGATGAAGTTGAAAGAACCATCAGGCAGCTGATTCCACAACCATCAAATCTCACAGAACTGGACAATGCTATTCATCAGGCATGGTGTCCGATTCCTTCAGTGGGGCTCCCTTGCACTTCAAGGGCTAAATCCTCGTTTTTACCTAGGGTACCATTTAAAAGCACTTTTACTTGCCTTATTCCTTACTTCTGCAGTCCCCTAAAGAGGCTTCTTTTTGCTGTGCTGTCCCTTGTCCCTGTGTGTGTTTGTAAAGTAGCCACCGCTCCAAGATCACTTCTGTGATGGACTACAATCTCATGTTTCGGTTAGTCATTTGTATTGCGATTGTAGTACATCACAGGAGTGAGCTTGGAGCAGTGACTACTTTACAACACACACAGGGACCATGGGGAACAAAAGTAGCCACCCTCCAGAAGGAAGGACAGTGTCAGCACCAATTCAGAGATGATTTGATGATCTACAGCCGAGTGATACACAAATAAGGTCCAGTATTAATAGTTAAGGTACATGAATGTAGTTTTAAGATTTAACCCCTGAGTTTAGTCACTTTAAAAAGCACACCCCCATCCCACTTGTACCCAACCTTCATTACCTGTTGTGCCATCGGAGTCCCCCGAAAATACCTGGTGTGTTAGGGTATGGGTGATCACGTGACCTTTTCTCCGCATACAGTGCTCAGACCTAGGCAGCCAATGTTAGGCCTGATCAGACCGCTCAACCTTGTGTAAACATCAACATGGAGCTTACATAGCTCTGAATGTTGCTATTTTTCACAAAGCAAGAAGTTTAACTTCCCTTTTGTCTGTCACCTAAGAATGGTAGAAAGTGTACAAAATGTATGTGTCCCTCTATTCTTTTTAGCAAATGTGGGATTCCTTTGCCACTTCTTTTGTGCAATTGTTTGGAGTATATGTATTGATTGGTGGATCCTGAAGTAAGAATTGTTCTGTAAAGCTCTTGTGCACCCTCATGTGGTACATGGCTCTTATGTAAATTTTATATACATACCTGCATAAAATGCAGTACCTTCCCAAATATAAAGGTGGCTTCCAAGTGTAGCCAAAGAATTACTAAAGACCTGGTTTTCAGCATTGTTGTGTATTTTTTTGTTTTTTATAATATAGCTTTATTTGGAAAGTACAAACTTTACACTCTATTCAGATTTTTGCACAGCAGCGTGGTGTACTGTGGTGACCTGTGTTGCTATACATTCTGTTGCAGAAAAATGTGACGGAATCTCTCCAGCAGAGCCCTTGATGGCAGTAAAACCTGACAGGAGTTTTAATCCTTTCCTACTCTATTGTAAACTAGAAAAAAAAAACATTTTGCCTATAGATCCTCTTTAATCTTTAACCACTTGTTGACAGGCCATTTTTCAGTATTCAGTGCTGCAGTACTTTGACATTTATCCAGTCATGCAACGCTGTACTAAAATTAATTTTATGCCATTTTTGGGGGGACAGAGCTTTCTTTTGGTGGTATTTAATCACCTCTGTGGTTTTTATTTCTTGCTATGTACTGAAAATTAAAAAAAAAAATAAACCTGTTTTCCCTTTGTTATGAAACCCTTATTACCCAGTTTGTTGGTATAATATAAAAGACAGAGTCCGGTAAATAGACACCAAACATGTCGAGCCTTAAAATTGCGCACGCCCACAGACAGGAATCATACAAGCGATCGGGTGTTTTTTTTTTTGTTTCTTTTTTTTACAGACGCCAGAGCGCTTGTATGTAAACAGCCATTGCTGGCTGTTTCAAATTCTGGCAGTTTCACGCTCGTGCACAAAGGACGTTTAAAGATGCCCACCCACATCCAGAAGGCTCCTGTTTGGTGGATTGGAGGTTGTTAATCTTCAGTTTTCACTTGTGTTTTTATTTATGGTGTAAGAAGTTAATTTTAAACGGCTATATTTTTTTCTTTTAACTAGGCACGTTATGCTTCCAAAAGAATTGGCAAAACAGGTACCAAAGACACATCTGATGTCTGAAGAAGAGTGGAGGAGACTTGGTGTTCAGCAAAGCCTTGGCTGGGTTCATTACATGATCCATGAACCAGGTAAGTTTGGAAACACAACTATGGGGGGCTGTAATTGCTGACCTTTCTGATAATTCTATTTGGTCTGGCTGCTTCTAACTTTAGTACATGGTTTGCTGACCTGGAACAAACATAGGGAGTTCTGACATTACTCTTATCTCCAGATTTTTTCTGGGTTCATTGCTGCCGGGTATCTTGCAATTTCAGAACAGGACAGGTTAGCAGTGGAAATCTCCATTATCATAGACCTGTTTATTATGCACCTATAGTTAAAGGCAATCTGGAAGAAAACAAAATACTCTTGTAAAAAAAAAAAATAGCTTGTGGGAAGCTCCTGTTATGACCTCTGACCTGAATAGTAGTTGTGTAGTGAATCTGAACCTTTAGTAGTGTCTCTTCTCCAGCATAGCATTCCAGAAATCAAAATGGCATCCTGCAACAGACTTGTGTATCTTGCTTTTTGACTATGTTCACATTTTACTATGCACGCTGAGGTAAATTACTAAAGGTGAAGTGAATCTGTGTTAATTTCGGATGATTCATGTGCCAAGCAATCTAAAATATAGGATTTTCCTTTGCACGTGATTGGATGATTGAGGCTACAGGTTAACTTGGCTAATTGAAAATGTATTTCTTTAGTAAATAACCCCCATTGCATTTCGGATGGACATGCAATCCGAAATTTGGCAACGGTCTTCTATGTTTTCTGCACAACCAGCAAACTTTAGTATTGAAGTGCCTCCTGACATGGCTGTCAGCATGAAACAATGCATGTAATGTAAGCAACTCTGATCCCTGCTGCTTTCTCTAATTGTGCAGAGCAACATGGCTTGTGTTTTCCTTCCTGCTCTCTTCACAGGCTATGTACAACACGGATGATTTCACAGCTACTTTGCAAGGCATTTGCTAAACATACGGTTGATACAGTTTGCGGCTATTGAACACATTTCAATGAAAGTTTTTATGCCCTGGGGTTAAGCATTAAACACTTTGTTGAGAGTTTTCTCAGCAGCACATTGTTGTGTTGCAAATGGAAGCGACACAACATTGCGGCTTAATAAGTGGCTTAAAGGAGAACTACGAGGTGAGTGATTTCCACTCACCTCATAGTTCTAGCCGACCTGTGACAATGAGACTGTCACAGGTCGGCTCAGTAGATCGGGAGGTGAGCGAACATATACCGGCGTTCGCTCACCCCTCGATCCTGTCACAGGGGAATCCAGCCCCTCCCCGTGATAGGTTTCGGCTTAGAACTATGAGGTGAGTGGAAATCACTCATCTCATAGTTCTCCTTTTAATATCTCGGTATAAAAATATTAAAATCTCCATGTAACCCTAGTTCAGAACAATCTATGGAGAGGAATGGGAGGTTGATGGCATCAGTGCTGCAGATGAGATGGGTGCATAGTATTTAGTTAACTTGTTCTAGCTTAATTTGTCCGTTTTGAGACTGCCTCTGAAAACATGCGGTTATCTGAGCTTAGCAAAGCATATCGGCTGCAGATGGAAGTTAGCGCTGTAAATATTCTAGTGTAGGTTAGAAAAGAGGAAAACCAGGTGTGGTTCCTCCAGCAGTCCATATAAGCATGTAATAAACCGCTAATTAGTCTTCTGCTTTGCTGATGACCGTTATTGTAATATCTGAATGTTGTCTGCTGCAGCTTGGTTTTTATATAGTGATTTTGCATCTTTAGAAAAGCTAGTGTTTTGTGGTGGTTGGGTAAAAAAAAAGGAAGTCTGTCAGTTTTAGAATGAATGTTACTTTATGGTAGCTTGTGGAAGCAAATCTTTTGACGCTATGGAACGTTTTTGTTTTGTTTTTCTTTACAGAACCTCACATACTGCTGTTTAGAAGGCCTCTTCCAAAAGACCAACAGAAATGAGTTCACTTGACTTGCATCTTTTGGGACAATCTGTATATATTGTAGTATTCAGTGAATACAAAGACTATGACCCTCACAACCACAGCTGTGCACAAGCTGTATTCTCAACAGCACCGGAGCTCTGGGAGTGTTTTCTACATTGAGCTGCTATTGTGTTCTGTTCTTTGTCTCTCTTTTTTTTTATTTTTTTTCCCCTGTCACATCTTTGTTTGGTTTTGACCACTGGTTAATAAAGTTTTGTTTCATCAATGTTTAATTTTACTAAAGCTTATGCAAACAAAGTGCTTTGAAGGTTTCTGGCCCCTAAATGGATTTCTTGCTTTCCATTTTTGAAGGAGGTGGAATTTGGTAATTACATTTTGGATCATATAGAGCACCGATGTTTACTTTCAGGTTTTTTTTCTCTTTTTTCATTTTGCTTTAACCACGGATTGCTTTTGTTACTCTATGCAAATCAAAGGTAATGCAAATGCAAGCTGATTTTTTTTTGTTTTGTTTTTCTTCTGAAAGTGTGCTACGTTTTACTTTCCAAGTATGACAGTCGTGTACCTTAACCCCAAGAAACAGGCTTGTTCATCTGTTCATATAAAACTCTAAAGACAAATGCATTGTTAATAAAACAGTTGCATCCCGTTTAATTTAGCCATAGCTGTTTTATTTCTGAGTTTTCTGTACTGTACTCACTCTTCCCCATATGTATAAATGCCTATTTTTTGCTGTGATATACTTTGCTTTGTCCATACAACCTATATATTCAGTTCTTGTGTAACTATAGGCAAACCTTTACATGTATAACATAGTCTGTCACTATCATTAACACAACAGTGTGATTTTCTGTGTCCTCCTTTAATAAGTAGGTTTTTCTTTTACCTGTTGATTCTGTCAGTAGATCCATTATTTATTTTCCCCCTAAATGTAATGGGCCAAGCTGTCCAGCTTAAGGTGCAGTTACATTTACACAAAGATCCTGCCCTAGCTGCTAAATTGTTACAGCTATCCATCAACCAGCAGGGAGTATTGACTGTATGTAGCAGCTTGGATGAAATCACATGGAGATCACCAACCTGTGGAATTTGGGAGCTGCAGGGTACTTTATTAAAAAAAAAAGCCAGCGCAAAACCTACATAAAGGCATTCTGTAATTGGAGTAGCAGAGGAGAGGGTGGGGGATGTGACCTTTTCTCTCCAATCATAGACTATGTGTATTCTATGACTAAAAAAATACAGGATGTCTTGTAGAGGGGCGGATGATGCAACTGGAGCTCTTAACTGCTCGTTACATCTCAGCCCCTCAGCTCAGCATTACAGTAATACCTTGGTTTACAAGTAACTTGGTTTGAGAGTGTTTTGCAAGACAAGCAAACATTTCTTAAAAATTTTGCCTTTATATACAATAAGAGCAAAATTCTGTAGAAAAGCACCACCAAATAAGGCTGTAGCAGTGCGAGCGATGAGTCTGTTTAAGGACAATGCAATGTCACATTGGATAGATTCCTTGTTAAGGTTTCACGAAATGAAAAAGATTCCATTGAGTCAAGAGATATCAGTGATTCTGTTAGTGATAGTGAAAGTCATCCGACACAATAATCCTCCTCTCTCTTGTCCCCCTCACACCAGCCACGAATGTACCGGTAATTGGTTTATTTTTCTTTATATTTTGTACAGTATTATATTACAGTATTGTCATCATTTGTATATGAATATTTTTGGGTTGTGGAACGAATCATCTGAATTTCCATTATTTCCTATGGGGAAATTCGCTTTGATATACAAGCGCTTTGGATTACAAGCATTCTTCCGGAACGAATTATGCTCGTAAACCAAGGTATTACTGTATGTGCAGGCGATAGCATACTGCAAGGTTTTAGTACTTTGCAGAGGCATCTACTCATAACACACAGCTTTTTGATGATGATTTACACACTCTGTACGTGTGCAAATTTGTCTTTATTTTTTTCCTGGAGTATGGCTTTGAAGGATAAGTACACTTATCCTTTTTGCCCCTCCCCTGACCTAACAGATCCCAGCTTCCTCCACAGACGAAAATGTCCAACGCTTATATAATCTTACATTATATTAACTGTTCTGAGTTGCTTGCAGCATGCCTTCTGATCGTGCCAAGGGAGACTCGGAAGAGGCAGCAAGCTCTTGCGCTGGGTTCACACCTTAGCGTATTGGAAACTCGCGTTTGCCGCGTGTTTCTTACCGCGATTTGCGGTAAAAGAAACGTGTGGCAAACGCGAGTTTCCGAGGGGGTATCCGGCTGTATCCTGATGGATACGCGCGTTAATACGCCACAAAGAAGTTCCTGTACTTTGGGCGTATGTCGTTTTACCGCACGATCGTACGCGTGGTAAAATGCGCAGGTGAGAACCATGCCCATAGGCAAACATGGGTTTTCACCTCTTGCGCGGTAAAACGCTCAGGTGTGAACCAGGCCTAAGATCAGAGAATAACAGGATTATTGGCTGCAGATATCTGTTGTGGCTTGGTCCTCTTCTCTCTTGGGTAAGGATTTCACCATGGTCATGCAAGATTTTATGACCCCAAATTACCTGGTTATCTGAGCTCCAGTCTTCCCATTTTTTTTCTTTCCACACTTTCCTCTCCTGTGTGGAAACTGATGACTCTCAATTCCCTGCAACCTTTAATCTCTACAATATAACCCTTTGAAGCTGCAGCTTCAATCTTGAGCCCACCTTCATTTTCTGTCTAAACCATCTTCATCACTCAATGACTTCTCCCCTGATCTGTACTGTCGTTTACCCACCCTCTCTCAGCTATTCACTTTCTGTTCTATCAGTCATTTAGTTCCTGAGCGTTATGTGAAAGAAATCCCCAGGATCCCTTCAAACATGCCTGCAACCAGTCAATCGATAAGCTGAGTGCATGACTATCGTCTGCTACACCCATTGACCAGAAGGGAGAAGCAGGCACATCTAAGGGGATCCCATGTATGTGTTCTTTCTCCTGGCCAGGAAGGGGGTTTAAACACCTGGTCTTGAAGTGGTTAAACTTGTCCTTTGACCAGTCTCCATAGTGTGTGCCTAAAACCTTTTGGTGACAGAGTCTCTAGTTTGTGTTCATCTCCCAGTGACTCAACAATGTTTGTTAGCAGTTCTAAGATCATCTGCCAATGTAGGAACGGTTATGCCTAAGAGACAACTTTCCAAAGCATGTCTTATATGCAAAAAAAATAAATGTTTAATTGTAATTTATCTACTGCCAGCAAAGATAAAAAATACCTGTGTCTTGGCCGCTAACTCATCTAAAGATTCTTGAGCGGCCGTGAAGGATCATGGGGCGAGCGCATGTGCAGTAGAGATCCTCGGCCGGGAGAAGAGTAAGTCAATGTAAGCAGCTGGCAGAGTGTACCCATACAGACTCCGCGGGACCTGAGAAGTCAGAGACTGGCACCAGCACTGGAGGGACTCCTGAAATCTACTGGAAAGAAGATGATCAGATCAAGAGGCATCATTTAAGACAGCAGTTCTCAACCTCGGTCAGGGGTCAAATGACGATTTGCCAGGGGTCGCCCGGAAGTCTCCAGCTATTAGTGGCTCCCAGCCGCCCGGGAGAGAAACACTTTCTCCTGGAAAGGTTTACTCTGCTCGATCGAGCAGAGTAAACCTTTCCCTGTGATTGTTTCTTTTCTGACATCGGGAGCTGCCGCCGGCCGTAAGTCAGAAAAGAAAAACCCACCATAGGAATGCCTAGCTAGATTCCTATTGGCTATTTCAGTTTGCAATAGCAAATTAGCTATTGCACCCGGCCTCTGCTGCTGCCAATCAGCAGAGGGGGACTACCTGCTGTTCTCCATCAGGTCCTCTTCTAGTGATTGACAGCAGCAGAGGGTGGGTGCAATAGCTAGTTTGCTATTGGCTATTGCACCCGGCTATAGTCCGGTCATGCTGACTGGTGACATTTGTGACTGACTGGTGAGACACCCTAACATTTTTCGAGGCCTGTATACAGTATGCAAACTACTCACAAGAATTAAAGGAACACTTTGAAAACACATCAGATCTCAATGGGGAAAAATATCATGCTGGATATCAACTGTATACTGTTTGATGGAAATGAAAAATGATCAACCTACAGAGGGCTAAAATCAAAGTGGACAAATGATGCAGCCGGCTAGTCCATTGTGCTGACATTTCATTGCAGCAACTCAAAATGGTACTCATTAGTTTGTATGGCCCCCATGTGTTTGTGTGGATGCCTGACAATGTCAGGGCATGCTCCTAATGAGACAACGGATGGTGTCCGTGGGTATCTCCTCCCAGATCTGGACTAGGGCATCACTGAGCTCCTGAACAGACTGAGGTGCAACCTGGCGGCGTTGGCATAATGTCCCAGAGGTGGTCTATTGGATTCAGTTCAGGCGAGCGTGGGGGCCATTCAATGGTATCAATTCCTTCATCCTCAAGGAACTGGCTGCATACTCTCGCCACATGAGGCCGGGCATTGTTGTGTACCAGGAGGAACTGCAGCCGCGCAGGGTCTGACAACGGGTCCAAGGATTTCATCCCGATACCTAAGAGGTCTGTGCGTCCCTCCATGAATATGCCTTCCTCGACCATCAATGACCCACCACCAAACCGGTCATGCTGAACGATGTTACAGGCATCATAACGTTCTCCACGGCTTCTCATGTGCTCAGGGTGAACCTGCTCTCATCTGTGAAAAGCACAGGGCGCCAGTGGCAGACCTGCAAATTCTGGTGTTCAATGGCAAATGCCAATCGACCTCAATAGTGCCGGGCAGTGAGCACAGGGCCCACTAGAGAACCTCAGGCCACCCTCATGAAGTCTGTTTCTGATTGTTTGGTCAGAGACATTCACACCAGTGGCCTGCTGGATGTCATTTTGTAGGGCTCTGGCAGTGCTCATCCTGTTCCTCCTTGCACAAAGGAGCAGATACCGGTCCTGCTGATGGGTTAAGGCCCTTCTACGGCCCTGTCCAGCACTCATAGAGTAACTGCCTGTATCCTGGAATCTCCTCCATGCTCTTAAGACTGTGCTGGGAGACACAGCAAACCTTCTGGCAATGGCACGGATTGATGTGCCATTTAGCAAAAATGTCAAAAGTGTGTCAGTCATTTACGAACAGAAACCAAAAACAAGCTCAGTCATGAAGGGGTTAATTAACACCAAAGCAGCTGAAACTGATTAAAGGAGAGCTATGAGGTGAGTGCTTTTCACTCACCTCATAGTTCTAGCCGACCTGTGACAATGAGACTGTCACAGGTCGGCTGAGTAGATTGGGAAGTGAGCGAACACATACCGGGTTCGCTCACCTCTCGATCCTGTCACAGCTCTCTGCCATGACAGGGGGAGGGGCTGGATTCCCCCCTCCGATGCTCCAGCGCTGACTAGCAGAACCGACGGGGGAGGGGCGGGTATAGCTGGCTCTGCGTCTAGATAGGCAGAGCCAGCTGTCACTCATGCAGCTGGGCAGATCCAGACAGCATTGTCGGGATCCGTTCCGGCTGCGGCGTCTCAGTATACCGCGAGCTTTAGCTTGCGATATACTGAGCTTCGGGTGAAGGGAGGATGCTAGTTTGTGTCCTAAGGAGAACTATGGGGAAAAGCCCTAACCCCATAGTTCTCCTTTAACAACCCCCTCTGCTACTTCACTGACCTGATCAATATCCCAGGACTTTCATTAAAGGAGAACTATGGTGTTAGGGCTTTTCCCCATAGTTCTCCTTAGGGTAACAGGAGGACACAAACTAGCGTCCTCCCGTCACCCTAGGCTCAGTATAGCGCGAGCAGCTGCTCGTGGTATATTGAGACACCGCAGCTGAAGCAGATCCCGACAATTGTTCCGGGATCCGCCCAGCTGCGTAACTGACAGCTGACTCTGCCTATCTAAAGGCAGAGCCAGCGGTACCCGCCCCCTCCCCCGTCCGATGTGATGATAGGACCCTGATGCAGACATCCCAACCTGCAAAACCTTATTTTAGGGAGGTTCCCGTCTCATTTCAGGGAGGTGCCCTTTCTGTTTTTTGGTTGTTTCTTTTTACAGCGGCCGTCGTCATAATATAAAAGAAATAATAATTATATATATATATACACAGACACACACATATACACACACACACACAGATTAAAAAAAAGTCCATATACCAATAATACAATAATATTATATATTTATTTATATATACATCAGATTTGTGAATTGATATTCAAGTATCTGTCAGTGTAAAGGTCACAATTTATTAGACAGCCCGGGACCTTTTTAAAAAAAACACTAAGGAGTAAAGTCCCTGATACACAACTGACTAGTTGCTATGGGCAGCAAATGAAATAAGTGTTCTCTATAACTAGACAACCAGGACATATAATTGATTCTATATTATCCACAAAGGGTTAACAGCACTCTTTCAACCCTGCAGCAGTAGATCTCAGTGCCTGTACCTGCTCTCAATAGTAGTCTATGTCCGCCCTCTCTGTGCAGCAAGTAGCTTCTTCCTTCTGAGAGCCAAGCCTCGTTCTGAGGCTACTCTAGAGATCACATGACCTTCCTCCAGGAGGCAAGCCTGACTCTGAAACTGATATCTTACGGGAAAGGTTTAGTTTACTCAGAGTATTGAGTAAACCTTTCAGGGAGAAAATGCCTCTCTCGCGGACATCAGGGAGTCTCCCGCTTAGGGTTGCCACCTGTCCAGGATTCACCCGGGCAGTTCGGGTTTTGAATGCTCTGTTCGGCTTTCATGGCAGCAGAAACCCGGACACAAGATTTCAGGCAGACAGGGGCAACCAAAATTAAGATAGAGGCTACTGGCCCCCCACTGAAAATAGTCTCACCTGTAATATTTGCTTATGAATGGGTGGCGGTATTTAGATATGAATAAGCCACGGCTAATTTTCCCAAAAAATTGTCTGCGCGTCTCTAGAGTGTTCGGGTTTCGCTTGAAGAAAAGGTGGCAACCCTTCTCCCGCTATCTAATAGCGGGAGACTCCCTGAACATCAGGGAGACTTGAGATCCCTGCTGATGTGAAAGGGCAGCTTCTAATGTGAAGGGGGCTCTTGATGTGATGATAGGACCCTGATGTGAAGGGGCTCCTGATGTGATGATAGGACCCTGATGTGAAAGGGTAGCTTCTAATGTGAAGTGGGCTCCTGATGTAATGATAGGACCCTGATGTGAAGGGGGAGTTTCTAATGTGAAGTGGGCTCTTGATGTGATGATAGGACCCTGGTGTGAAAGGGGAGCTTCTAATGTGAAGGGGGCTCCTGATCTAAAGGGAAGATTTTGATGTGAAGGGGGTGACTCCTAATTTGAAGGGTGACTTCTGATTTTAAGGGGGGAAGTGAAAAATGGAACCTCACTTTTTTTTTTTTTTTGCATGGGGTCCCCCCTCCTTACCAAACCCCTGTCTGAGATAAGCGTCTTTAATGGATTTTGTAGGGGCCACATATCATTTTTTTTAGAGGGTGACATGATTTAAACAAGGTTATAAAGCGCTGCTCTAAGCTATGTGAAAAAAAAGAACGAAAGAAGCACCAGCTGAGCTAGCACGTTTAAGTGCGCTACAAGTGTATCAGGCAGCCACACGTCACGTCACGTGCCTCGCTTGTTTGCCCTATGGACTATCAGCAAAGCGGCCGGAGGCCTCATCACTAGAGCGGGATTCTTTTCTGTAGTCCCGCCTCCCGAAATTACAATGCAGTTAGGTAGCGGCAGCCATATTTTTGTAGCCACAGCTACAGGAGTTTAAGCGGTGGGCTCCACAAATATGTTTCCTCGCTGCAGACAACAAGGAAGTATGCCACTTCCGTGTTTACTATCATTTCCGAAGCAGAAGAAACGCGACCTAATTAGACGTCATGGCAGTGAGCAGTATGAAACTTACTATGGTGTCGTCTCTCCTGTCCGAGGCTGCAGTTACCGTGATCAGTAGATGACGTCTCTGACCGACCAGCACTCGGAGTAAGAAGTGCTGCAGCAGTGCGCAGTGCTGACATGCAGCCTGGGAGTAAGTGCAGCACCTTGTTTTCCCAACAGTACTGGGGGTTTACAACATAGCTGACATCGATTCCACAAGATTTGTTCAGTACTATGTCAGGGAATCCCCCTAATCATTCTTGCACCGCCATGCAGAGTACATTAGTGCCTAAATCTAAAGCAAAACTTTACATTTTTTAATAGAGAATGGTTAAAGTGTATGGCTAGCCGAATTATTTTTTTTCAATTATTATTCAGGTAGGAAAGGGTTAAACATGTGTCTTGTTATTTAAATTTCCTTTCACTTCCTGTCCAAGAGATGCAACAGGAAGTTAGAGGAGATATCTATTCTTAGACTTTAATTATGTGCATGGGCTTGATGCAAACTCAGTTTGTAGGTGTTCGCCCAAGCCTGCAAAAAACTGTGATTGACACCACCCTCTCCCGCCCACGTGGTCAGAACATTCCCCACTTGCAGAAGCCACAGTTGATTGGCTGGGGGGAGGTCCATGACAGTTTTGCTTGGGCGAAGACCTCTGAACTAGGTTTGCACCAAGTCCCCACACACCCTTAGTAGACATTTTCCCTGGATAGAAAGAGAAATTCACACCAGTGGACTTTTAAGGCACCCAATATGGAACAATGTATACAATAAAAAAAATTTTTTTTAAATCACACATGTAATAAAATCATGTGAAATCCCTCACCTTTTGTTCTGTTGATAACAATTTTTAATTTCCCCTCCTTTTTTTGGTGACAATGACTCACCACCATTCAAAATAGAGGGACAAAGTTCCCCATTGGGGAGAGAGTAATGCAAACTTGTCAAAGAGTCTAATCCTGCCCCAATACATTCCACAAAAAAAAAACCCCTGTCAGATTTTTTTGTCATCTGTTTCCCATTACCTTCACCTTCTGTCCTGTAGACCCTAGTGATGAGCCTGGGCTTGGAGCAGTTCACCTGAGTTCATCCAAGCCCACTGAAAACTAAACACCACCCAAGGGAAACTGGGTTCACACCAAGCCCAGGCTCATCACTAGTAGTGATGTGCTCGGGCGTGTTCGCAGCTCCACGTGCCGAGCCCGCCAGGAAGCTGACAGCATGCAGCGCCAATCACAGGTACTGAGACATGTTCCCGGTCCGCAGCTGCAGAGATCGGGAAATGTCACCGTGCCTGGGATTGGCGCTTAAAAAACCCCTGTCAGATTTTTTTGTCATCTGTTTCCCATTACCTTCACCTTCTGTCCTGTAGACCCTAGTGATGAGCCTGGGCTTGGAGCAGTTCACCTGAGTTCATCCAAGCCCACTGAAAACTAAACACCACCCAAGGGAAACTGGGTTCACACCAAGCCCAGGCTCATCACTAGTAGTGATGTGCTCGGGCGTGTTCGCAGCTCCACGTGCCGAGCCCGCCAGGAAGCTGACAGCATGCAGCGCCAATCACAGGTACTGAGACATGTTCCCGGTCCGCAGCTGCAGAGATCGGGAAATGTCACCGTGCCTGGGATTGGCGCTGTCAGCTTCCTGGCGGGCTCGGCACGTGGAGCTGCGAACAGCCCAAGCACATCACTAATCACTAGTAGACAACAGGGAATGAGGGAAATCTTTCCAACGTAAGGAAAATCTCTTCTTATGTAGTTGTCACAGGAACATGCCCTCATTGGAAGATTGACCCTCTATCCCTGTTATAATAACAATGCAAGGGTTGGATTTTTCCTTACTTTTAGTTCCAGTGACAATATTTAGCAAGACAAAAGAAAAGATACATTTCCCCAATGGGCCACAGGGAGCACAAATAAAACTTCAATGAGGTTTTTACCTTCTCCCCTCTTTCCAAAACTAAAATAAGAAAACCTTTAGCTTTAGGTACTCATGAAGACCTGGTGATGACAAGCAGTGGTTGAGACGCTTCTGAGACCATTCAGAATCCATTGACAGATGCTTTCAGACCCCTTCACATTGGCGTAGAAAAAGCCTCACACAGCTGCGCACGTTTCTGGACCAGGTGTTTTGTCTGTGATGTATACTGCTTATCATACTCATCATTTGTCTGCAATAACGCATAGTTTTATTGCTAAAAAGATCATTGTTGCGTATAGAGATCTAACTGGCCCAACCCTTTCCTGTTCTACAGAGAAGAAAGATAGAATCAAACCATCCAGGTGCTGTTGTGTCGGATGAGTGTTGTGGTCTCGGGGAGATATGTCCCCATTCATGGCTATCCTTCCTTTTCTTCGTACTTGCTAGTTGCGTAATTTTATGTTTTGTTTTTTTTTCTTTTCCCCCAGATATATCACAAGTGTCTTCTACCAGCCCATCTAGTCCAGTGACATGGGCCAGCAAAGTAAAACAACCTCCAAAAGCTATGATCCCTCCAACTACCTCAGTGAAACCTGTATGTTCTTCCCCTAGCATTGCTAAGGATTCAAAATCACAGGGCTGGAACAAGGTAGGTCTAGTTTTAAAAGTAGAAGATCTGGACTACAGCTAACACCCAGTTGGGTGACTCTGTTCAAACTACTATTCCAATTGCTTTTGTATCTGCTTTGCTTAATTAGTGTATCTGAATGGGATACAGTATGCACACTGCTGTTTATTACTGAGTAAGTCTGGGTAAATTTATTTTTATTATAGATGGATCAGTCAGCCCCTGCATTCTTTTATGTTTTGGATGCTCCAACAGTGACATCTCCCTGCTTTAATTCCTTACCTTGTTCCTGTCCATCTGGATGTCTTAGGTGCCCCCACTTACCTTTGCATGTTCCAGCTGCTCTTGTTGCATTTTCTATAATTTAAATTAAATCCAAAGCCCAAACGTGAAAGTTGGGACCTCTCAGTAGCTGTACAGATCTAAGAATTCAAGCTTTTGGTGGTCATGGTAGTCTTCTGGCACAAGTACTGTGCGCCATATTACTAGACCTGTTTGAGGTCTGTCTGAACCACTCAGACCACTTTAGAGTGATATAGAAACTGGCACAGGTTCCGCCAGATTGGACCTGGCATATAGGATGTGAACAGTTTGCTGGTAACCTGGCAGACAGCTCACATGCCTCTCTCTGCCTATGCAGTGAATACACTGCATGGACATAGCCTTCATATAGGCAGGAAATATATATATATATATATATCGATATATCCCAATCAATCACGGTCACATTAGCCAAGATTATGTCACATGCTGACATTGGAAGGTTGCTCACAGGAACGGGTTCAGCCCAAAAGGATGGTACTCGCATCACATGCCCATGTTCATACAGCAAGAATTTTGCTGTAAAGGTTTACTTTACAGCAGGTAAAGTAAACCTTTCCTAAGAGAAATATGGAGGCTGCTAATGCTGACCTCCTTTGGGAAATGCTATTGCCTGGCTGGAGTACTTATGCAGATCAGGAAAGTTGGGGCAAAGTCCAGATTAAGTTCCAGATTAGTAACCTAGACTATGAAAGCAGGCGTGTCCATTTAATAGAAAAGGTTTGTTTTTATATTCTGCTAGTTCTAGTTCTCTTCACCTCATTCTGGGGAACATGTGTTCAAGTGAAGGGAACTTGCACTGAACCAACCACAATTAAGCATTTGTGAAAATCTAAATCTCTACTCTGGAACTGCTATAAATTTTTTTAAAGAGTAGAGAATCAGGAATACCTTGGCCCCCTCATTTAATTGTATCCTGTCCATTTCAGAGCAGAATTATTGATACTTGAATAGGTTTTCCAGTCTCCTGCTTCAGTTTGGTGCTAATGACAGATACTTAAAAATTGTCAGTTACTAATGGATTACATAAAACATTTTTTGTTGTTTTAAGCAACCAGTAAAGAGTGTTTGTTATCAGCACTTAACTGAGGCATAAGATAGTACAACCTCTGTGGGGTCTTAAAGCTTTGACACTAAGGAGGATTATCCTCCACCTAACAATCGTACATAAGCTGGCCATACACAGATTGAATTCCATCCATTTGCTGCTGAATCCTCCACAATTCAATCCCTGGGTGGCCCTGTCGGCATCTCCTGGCTCGAGAAAAGTCTTCTTTTTTTTTTTTTATCCGATCAACTTATCTCAAAGAAAACAAGTGGAAAGTTGTCAGCCAAATGGTGACTGCAGTAAACGGCAAAGAAGATTCTTCCATCCGCAATCCTTAGACTTGGGATGGTCTGAATCATAAAAATCTTGAGGCGTATAGCCTGCTTTAGCTGATGTGAGTTGAATCTAACTATATGTACTCAACAGATGAATTCAACAAAAGAAATGTATTTTGGAACCTATATATTTGTGTGTGTCGCTGATCACAAGAGATGTAAAAAAAAACTTACAAAATATCTTGACCGTAGCTAACTCGTAACATGCTGTAATTGTATTGACAGATGTCAAATAAGACGTAGAGGTTTACCTACTAGTTTTATTAAAGCAACCATTTTTCATTTTTAGATGTTATCATCACCAAATTTAGCTACTGAAACAGAGGCTGAGGAAGTGGTTGCTAAAAAAAAGAGGAAGAAAAAGAAGAAGAATAAACCGAGTCCAAGCAATGAACACTCCGAAAGTGTAAAGTTTACAAATGAGAACATTGTTATACAGGAACCTCCAAAATTTCAAGTATGTACCAAATGTACATTTCTATTGTATGTCTTCTTTTATCAGAATGTACCAGTCTGTGTTAGACATTGCCATGTTTTATTCCCTTACATTAAAAGGCTCAGCTGACCACATACAAATGTTTAGATCAAGTCTGTAAGACCAGCAAAATATACCAATGACTTTGCAGTGTGTACGTGTTTTAATATTTTAGGTTAAATGGATTGTTTAGGTAGGGGGCACATTACACAAATGGGGCAGTTTTGGCAAGACTCAAGAAAGGTTTCATGAATATTATTGACTATCAAAGAATAAAGCCGGAATTACCTTTCTAAGACTGGTGTTTAGCACTGGTAGTGGGTGGAGGATGCAGGGGCTACTTTTAAAGGGCACAATGTACTCTGTAATGACATGTAACTTGCAGTCATTTCTCCTTTCTCAGCATGCATCTTGTTGGTGGACTGTATTGCCTTTAAATTTAAAGCAGACACAATACTTTCAATTTATAATAACAACCATGGAATATACAGTGCATGTAAAAGCTTTTTACCTGCCCAGCTAATCTAGTGCAGTCCTGCTTTGCTTTTCTGCTCAGCTGCCATAGGTGAGGTCCCATGCAACCATCTTTCTTTCTTTTCTCCTTAGAAGCTGGCTGTCTCTTCTGGGTTCTTGCAGCTAGCTACCAATGGGGCACCACCAGGTCTGCCCTTCAGCTGCTGTGTATCTCTGCCCATGCAGTCTCCTTGGATATGTAACGGGGATATCCCAGGTGTCTGCAGGAGCAGGACACTTAATTCTCTCCTAGACGAGAATAGAGGTTGGGGGCCTCCATTCTTGGCTAGGCGGACGAAAAACTTTTTTTTTTATATTGAGGAAGAGGAGGAAGGGTTGCAGTGGAAAAAAATTTGTTCTGGGAGTGTAGGTCCTCTTAAATTACAAGAAAAACATAAAATAACTGACTGTACGAGTAAACACCCCCTTTTAATATGATACATCCATAGGAGTGCCATGTAGAAGAGAATGTAACCACATTGCTTAAACATGTGTTTACATTGGGAATGTAGTGATGTCACAACACTTCCTCTGTGCATGAAGGCAGAGCAGAACTGCTGCAGCTTTGTGCAGCCTCTCCCTGCAGCAGTATGTGATGTGCTATAGTGATCTATATCTGCATGATTGCATCTAGCAATAGATCACTCTTTGAAGTGATCTATTGTTGCAGAGCTGCGGTGGTTAGGGTCTGGATTAGGCTCCCATTCCCCAAGAAGAAATAAAATACACCCTTGGCTTCAGAAGCTGGTATTACCCCTAGCGTTCAAAGTGTTTTGAAAAACTGTTCAGTTTTTTTTTTTTTTATAAAGCCCGGTTTTTGATAAAGACTTTGTGAAATTTTTGAACACTCCATCAAAATTCTTTGTTTTGCCTCTTTCAAATCCCCCATAACATTTCAATGGCATTCATATCAGAGCTTTGACTAGGCCATACCATAACCCTCAGTTTCTTCTTTTTGAGCTATTAAAAGATCCATTTTTGGTTTAACTTCAACTTTCAGAAAATGGCTTCACATTCTTACTTGGCACACTGTGATGTTATGCAGAATTTATAGATCACTTGATTATTGTAAACTGCCCAGGCCCTAAAACAGCAAAGCAACCCCAAACCATAATAATATTACCAGCATGCTTCACAGTTGGTATGAGGTAATGCTGTATTTGGTTTGTACCAAACATGTCTGCTATAACTATGTCTAAACAACTCTGTCTCTGATTCATCAGTCCACAGGATGTTGTTGTAGAAGGTCTGGTGTTTGCCTTTTTGTTCAATAGCAAACTGTAGTCTTGCTCTAATGTTCTTTATGAACAGCAAAGGCTTTTTCCTGGCATACCTCCCATGCAGGTTAAATTGGTGTAATCTATTTCTGATTTGTAGATGCATGCATTTTTACATCAATGTTTACAAGAATTACATGCAGATATAATGTTGGGGTTCTTAGAAATTTCCTTTACTTGAACATTGGGGCAAAAGCAAAACATTTAATAAGTGATTTACATCCACTTTAAGAAATGTAAAGCATATAGGACAGCTGTAAGTCTGCAAAGAACAAAAGTGAGTGAGTGTAAAAGCAGGAGACTAGTGAGGGAGGACTACTAATAGATTTGCATACTGCCATTAAAGCAGCATGTAGCATTGTTCTGTGTGGTGGCATGCATTAGTCACATGCTCTAAACCCGGCTGGTAAAGTTCTAAACATAACTTCTCTTAAGCATGTCAACCATGGGCAGTCATATATTTTATATGATGTCAATCTGATTATCATACCAGACCCTTTCTTTTTTCTAATAGGATACTGAGGAATTCCCTGACCTGATGTCCTCTTCTGGTGTTGCTGAAAGAGGTTTAAGACCTGAAAATAGAAGCTATTCAAGTTTCAGCCAGGGACCTCGAGGGGCATTGGTAAGAAAGTGAATGGTAGAAAGTGTTTTTTCTCTTACAAGCGACAAATGCCATATCAATGCGGTACGGTGAAAAAAAATGAGTGCATGCAGTTCTCTTTTTTTTCATTGCAATGTATGGTATTACAGTACTGTGCATTGTGCTGTGCTGGAACACACGGCTGCCAGGAGGTGTGCCGGAGTGCAATTCAAATGAATGGCTAAACACCTAAGGTATTGTAGGTATGCTGTTCATTAAATGCACGGTATCGTGCATTTAGTGCACCACCATGGTGTAAACGGGCCCTTAAAGTTGTCAGAGCAAAAGGTGTGGGGAAATCTGGTGACGGTTGCCTAAATTTGCCTCACTTTGTAGAGATCTCTCTTGCTTTCTGTTGCATCTCTAGGACAGGAAGTGATGGGAGATCTCTCCAATGGAAACAGACGGCACAAAATTAACTGACTATATGTTTTTAAGGGGTATTTCACTTTCAAGGAAAACGTGTCACATCCTCTTAATTATTTATAATGTTATATGGAGAGGCCATGAGCAGCATGACACATTCATTTTATTTTGTAACCAGAATCTATTTTGGCTATCTCACCCAGAGACACCTAAGGGTTGCCATGTTGTTCACCTACTGTAGAGAACCACCTTGCAAAGCTGAACTATGAGTCTTGTGTGGAGCTGACCTTTGCATTGGAGCACAGATGAACCTAATATGTGTAATTTTTTTTTTCCCCCCAGGAGTCATCGAAGACAAAAGGCAGTGGCAAGAAGAGCAAAACTCCTGTACAGCTGGATTTAGGGGGCATGCTGACAGCACTGCAGCAGAAACAACACATTGATAAAACCAAACCATCTACTAAGGCAGTCGTCTTATCTGGTATGTGGGATATCTTATATAATTCCGTAAATCTTCTTTAATGTGTTCCTTGTCCTCCTTTTTATATTCATTGCTCTTCATCTCTCAGCTGCCTTCTTTCCACTCCAGATAAAGCAGTGCTGCCAATCAGTTGTTTTTACAGTATCATACTTTTCTGCTGTAGATCAGATTGTTAAGCTTGGCAACACAGATTCAAGAACTCCTACCATCATGTTTGAGTACAACGGATGCTCCAGGATGTTAAAAATGTTTAGTTTCCTGCAAAATCTGCTGGTTTCCAAAGTACTGACCCTGATAACCTGTTGTGGCTATGGATGGAGCCACCTTTTGTGTGTGCTAGTAAGCTGTGCGTGGCTCCAAAAACATACAGACACTGCAATGCAAGATGCCTTTCACCCCCC